TTCAGATGTCAAACTGATTTTAAAAAGTAGTTATTTCCGCCAAAATACCATGCATTTATTGTTAGTGAAGACAAAATCTGGTACAGCAAAGCTACTTAAGTTTCTTCTCCACTTTTAATTTTCTGAATTTAATAATATTTTAGACCTCAAGTTTCATGAGCTGAACTCTTTTCACAGGAAAAAAAATCTCCTTCAGTTAGGTGGAGATAGCAGCAAAATCACTATTCTTTCTGTAACCTGCTGAAAAATTTGTTTTTGGGGTTCCTCTGCTGTATCTTAAGACCTTTCTATTTGTGGAAACGGAAGTCGGAATCAAAGCCATGCTTTCTTTCAAAAAGTATGAAGTGACTTGCAAAAATATCTAGCTATAATTTTCCTCTTGGATTTAGATTAATTGTTCTAGAATTATCAGTTTGTACTGCAGATGGGGACTACAGCCAAGAAATTAAAATATGCTGTTCCTGGGGAGGAAAGCTACGGCAAATCTAGACAACATACTAAAAAGCAGGGACATCATCCTGCCAACAAAAGTGCGTATAGTCAAGGCTATGGTTTTTCCAGTTGCAATGTATGGCTGTGAAAGTTGGACCAGAAGGAAGGCTGAGCGCCAAAGAATTAAGGCCTTAACTTGAGAAGACTCAAGTTCCTTGGACTGTAAGGCAATCAAACCGATCAGTTCTAGAGATCAACCCTGACTGCTCTTTAGAAGGCCAATCCTGAAGATGAAACTCAAATACTTTGGCTACCTAATGAGAAGGAAGCACTCACTGGAGAAGAGCCTAATGCTGGGAACGATTGAGGGCAAAAGAAGAATGGGACAACAGAGAATGAGGTGGCTGTCCATAGGGTCATGATGGGTCGGACATGACTTCGCAACTAACAACTCCTCCTCATTGTTTAAAATCCATTAAAAAAACTACTGGAGTTTTAAAAAAATTCCAAGTATGCAATTATTAATAAACAATGCTATGGTTTAGGAGCGCTCTATTGCGTGTCTGGAGAAAATATCAATATAAATTAAATTACAAGATATCTATATGGGCAATACCCAGACATGCGATAGAAAATGTTAAGTGTAGAACAGAAACAAGATAGGACCACATATAAGGAACTTCTTATAATGGAAGGGAATATATTGCAACTAAAGTCTTTAAATGTATTAAGAGAAGAAAAGATAGCCCAGACTTGGTTTCAGTTCGGACAGTTACATGCGAGATGGAAAGAGGATCAGAAAATTGGTATCATAAAAAATGATGAAAATTTGGTAAAACAAATTAGAGATGAAGGTCAATCGCATATAGGAAGGTTATATAATGCATTGATAGAAATAGATTCAGAAACTGAATTAGTTAAAGATTGCATGATAAAATGGGCACAGAATATCCAGGAACCACTAATGATGGAAACCTGGGAAAAAATTTGGGTTAGAAATGTGAAATTTACACAAGCACAAAACTTCAGAGAAGATTTTTATAAAATGCTTTATAGATGGCATCTAGATCCTAAAAAATTAGCGTGTATGTATCCGAACCAACAACCTAAGTGTTGGAGATGTGATTGTGATGATGCAACGTATTATCATATATGGTGGACATGTAAAAAAGTTAAAGCTTTCTGGATAAAAATATGGTGGATTATTCAGAAGAGAATATATGGATTTAAGAAGATATGTTATTACTTAGCTAAGCAAATAGGGAGTTAAAGTGAAAAAGGGACGAAAAGAGTTTATAGATAGTTAGCATGTTAGATTAAGATTGCTAAATGGAATACCCTGTTATTTCGCTCTGGGAAGTGGGGGGGGGAGAGAATGGGGAGGGGTAATGGGTAGGGAGGTGGCGCTTAAAACTTGCTTAAAATGTTTGTAAAAACTTTTCAATTAAAAAAAACAATGCTATGGGAGGGAATGGGAGACATCAAAATTATATATGCTTATATGAAAATTAGGCAAAATTACATGAAAATTACATGACAGATATGAATCTGTCGGATATGAATTGTAGCTGAAACTGAAGCTTCCAATGCATTAGCTTCCTGCTTGATTTTATAATATCCACTTGTATTTTATAATATTGAGAAATTCATCTCACAATGAATTTCTCAATATTATATGTAATAGAAATCTTTAGGTATGTTGCTTACTTTTAAGGCTAGTAGTGTCCCATTGCGAAATGGAATTAAGAGATTTTCCATTTACCACTGCAAATCAGCATAAGCACATAACAGCTCTTCTCACTTAGCAGAGAACATGTAATACATGTTTATGTCTGCTTCAGCTGCAGTACTAAAGATGAAAAGGAGATAATTCTGGTATCTCAGTCTTTTTGCAAATACACAAGACGGGAGAAATGCTACTCAAGGATGTGACTCAAAATGCTTAATTTAAAAACAAGTGTTTAGAGAAAATGGTAACTCAAGTCTATATTTAACATTTCTTCCCTTAGGGCTGACAAATTCTTTGCAGATTCCCTTTTTATGTCTATGCAGCATAAAGTGTTCCATCTACTTCTACCACTGGAACAATGAGCACAACCAACAAATGTTACGTTTCACAGACAGATAAAAAGCTTCTCATCTTTTTCTGACAAACAATTCTCTAGCGTAGAACAATACACAGTAGGAAGCACTGCCACCGTGTCAGTGTCAATTAGAGACCAAAGTGAACTGACCGGATATGAATTGTAGCTGAAGCTGAAGCTTCCATTGCATTACATTCCTGCTTGATTTTATAATATCCACTTGTATTTTATAATACTGAGAAATTCATCTCACAAAACTTGCACTAGGGGCTTATTAATGGGATAGTGGCAGTCATAATTGTAATACTGAATATATAATTACATCTCTGAGGCATGGGATTTTTATTCTTTTCCCTCTAGGATGATGATGAGCCATCAAATAACATTATATATTGCAAGTTGTTATAATTCACAAAGGAAAATTTGTTATAAAACAACACCTTATTCATACAACAACATTTTACTAATTTAATTGGGTTCCCTTAATCTAGTTTTAGGACTTGTGTACAGATGGATCATTTTTTTAGATCCTATTTATACATAAATATTGGAAATTCAAAAAAGTTGGCAAACACTTAAGCATCACTGTATTTTCTGTGGCAGAAAAATTATCAACCTTTATTGTACTTAAGATACCCAGTGCTACCATATTCTAATCAAAATTGTTAAGCTATTGCTTAACGCATTGTAAGCCGCCCTGAGTCTCTGAAGAAGGGCGGCATATAAATATATATATTTTTTAAAAAAATGCTGCTTGGCTACCAACCTGTCAGTATCTTTACAATTAACCTACAGGAGGATTTATATTCAAAAATAGAAAAAAGACTTAGGAAGCCATTATTAGTGTTTACTGCATTTTGAATCTTGTGTTTCCTCTGAAGCCATAGAATTGTTTGTATGTCTGAGGAGTATCACCTCTTATTTTATCCCAACTACCCCTCAGATAAAATAGGCTAAGAGCAAACAATTTAACTCTCGTGAGCTCCATAGTTGAGTGGGAACTTGAACCTAGCCATCCCCGTCTAATACTTTAACCATCTCATTAGACAAGTACAAAATCACTCAATTAAATTACAAATTGGCAGACACTCTCTATGAAAATCTTACCATCCATATCAGTGTTGAATGGCCAGCAAACTATGGTTTGTTTATCTTGACATGGAATATTTATAATTTAGACAACACATTAAATAACAGTTGTATGCTGTGGCGTGGTATGTTTGTAATGATCTAGAAATGTAACAAATACATTGAAACAATTTTCTCCTAAATCCCATTTTATTTTTGTAATAAAATGAAAAGCCCAGTTTTCAAGAAAATTCTTATAAACAGATGGGCGCTTAGGTAACCACTGATCTGGTTGTAATTATGGCAAGCAGGTATTCCAGTGGACATTAGGAAGTTGAAGTATCATAATTTAAAAACTCTGATAAACTGATAAACTAGCATGAAGACTGAAGTTTCATCTCAGCTGAACAGTTTTTCAGGCAGCCAATAGACAAACATCTCCCACATGTTCTTCCTCTGCAAGACCCTGAGTTTACCATTATTTTACTTCTGGACAAGTAGATGCATCTTGAAATACAGCATTGCTATTTTTATTTTCCACCTCTGGGCTTGATGAGTATCAAGAAGTATTCTTGGAAATAAAAATGCTAGGAGGCATAAGCTCCATAGCACGCCAGTTTTCCATTTTAAAAGATATGAAAAACCTCTGAACAGCAAGTAGTCTGACAGCTGCAAGAAAATTATTCGTAGGTACATTGGTGCCTATGGGCATCACAGCATACTTTAAAATGCATCTCTTTAATTATAAGATTTAGAACTCCTGCTTGCCATGATGACCAGACCAGTAATTAGAATCAAGTTTTAGCTATGGAAAGAAAGCTGGCAGTGATCGATGGAAACATATTCTATATACTGAAGACCATCCCTGCATTATTCATGAACACCGTCTAGAGCCAACAAGAGGCTTTCAAAACAAGATCTGGAATGAATAAATACCCCCTCTTCACGTTGCATGCTTTTATATAGAATGCATACAGTATACTGACAATTCTGACTATTGTTATATGTTTCAGCTTTCAAAAATCAAGCGTGACACAGAGATGCCTCCTGATCTTGGTCTGTTAGAGCAGTCTCCCTAGCTCGGCCTACTCAGATGCATTGGGGTAAAATTCCCAATACATCTAAAATATGTCTGCTTTGGAATAGCTACTTAAGGAGGATTCATGCCAATTTGCATCTTATTCCAATATTCAAGAACTGTATTTTCAAGAGGTCATCTCACGTGCATCAGAACTGTAACCACTCTAGACCAGAACTGCAGGTGGGAGCTGCACAATGTAGTACCCAAATCAATCCTATTTCAAAATTAAGAACAGACGCTTTTTGTCTATGTCTACTGATTTCACACTATGGAAGGTCAAATGTTTGCTAAGCCAGTTATAGCTACTCGCAGAAAAATATGACACTGACAAGAGAGAAAGTTCATTCCTTTATTACAACCCACCGACCAAATTCCAGAGGACAGATTCACTTCAGTTCCTTTACTGCCAAACCTAGAGAACAAAGAGAAACATGTACTGAAGAAGAGCAGACAGACAATATTTTCATTATTTGTTTGTAAAACTATCATTTTAACCATTTTCCCAAACACAAGTTGTTTAACTTTGAAAGGAGATCTTCCTGAGCAAGTGTAAGAGCATAATTTGCAGCCTCATAGCTAGTTTTTAATTGGTGGCTTGATATAAATGTCACTAAACATCTAAAATTATCTATGTTCTTCTTCAAAATGACATCTCTTTATTCTATCCAGCAGAGATGTTGAATTTGATGGCTTAAATGCAGCCTCCCAGCTCTACAATATTCCCTGCTACACAAGTGACATTTAGACACAGGGCTTTAAAAGCTTAGCTTATTAGGCTGACATTTCATTTGTATCTGCTGAAAAACTCAGAACTCTCCCATCTGCCACATCCCTTGGTGGATATTCATTACACTGCTTTTCAGTCATTTGCCTCTAAATCTGTTCTGTATGTTTAACCCCCCACCCCCCCCTCCACGTTGCCAGTTCTGAAACAATACTGGTGCTCATACAAAATATGTATTATTTGGATTAATCTACAAAACTACTGCTTTCTGGGATCATTTCATTTCGTTGCACCTATATTTTTAACACAAACTAAGCACCAATTTATTGTTTTCATTAAACCTGAACTATCCCTTAAAAGCAAACTTTCATGTTGGTATCAACAAGGAAAATATATTTCTATTTGTTAAACAAACAGCAGAGTAATTTAATTTACAATGCAAAGGGATTTAAGTGATTAAATCCCACTAACTTTGAAAGGATCTGCTATACTCATTGACTGAAATCAATGGAAATTAAACTTCCTTAACCATAGTTTTCTTCTCAGGGGAAAAAGACTGTCCTTCTAAGAGATAATGCCTAATTAATACAGCAGTATCAAGTAACTTCAGCCAATTTAGAGATTCAATTTTTAAACATTTTAAAGTGTGAAACTGCCTTTCAAGTTTAAACTACCATACCTACAAATTAGGCACATAGTTTGGTTTTTGTTGAATGAAGAAAGTGATCTTTCAATTTATCAGTCACTAGTGAGTAGCTAAATGTTTCATTTTATTCATATCATCTGACAGTTCCAGAAAACTGTTGTAAGATTTTATCCTGGAATTTGCAGTTTGTGTCAAAATACAAATAATATTCAGACTGATTCTTTTACAGCCTCCCTAGAATTGCATCAAGAGATCCAGAACCAATGCCTAGATATGAAGCAAATCACCAAAGAGTAATTCAGCTATGACACAGGCATTTTTATTTAGTAATGCTGACTTTGGAATAACAATTTAATCAATGCTGGATAAAATAGCAAATGTAGGTTCACAGCTCAGCAGTTTGCCTGCACTTGGCTTTGACCTCAGACAAGAGCTGTAACTGGGAATGCCTTCATCCAGTTTAGGTAACTGGAGAGAGATGTGGTCAGAATAACTGATGCCTTAATACTCCACATCTGGAGGATTGCAATAAGATGAAAAGTATTTAGAAATAACAATGACCCAGAATGCTGTAGCCAGCTTCTTTAGAGAAATTCCATTTAGGAAAATAGGACTATTTTATCTAAATTGTTTCCAGGCTTAATTCAAACTGTTGGCAATGATATTCAAAGTTCATTATCAACTAAAATATCTAAAGGGCTGTTTTTCCTACCCATGACTACTTTGCTGGCTTTCCCTTCCCACTTCTTGGAGGTATAAATTATCAGTTGACATTAACAGGAAAAATTTATATCAGTTCTGCCAGGCTCTGGAATTTCATCTCAAGGTGGCCTCCCACTTTCATCTACTAAGAAGTTAGTCATTTTCTATGATCTGTTAAAATGAATGAATCATCTAAGTATCCTCACTTTGATGTCACAGCATCCTAAAGTACATAAGTTAACTCTTCAGACAAGGCAGCTGATTTTATTTCTTCACATGTTTATTTTCAGGAAGCCTATAATCATTTAATTTTTTCAAACTTGTCCAGTGCCCCAAATGTTCAGGGTTTCTCCACATGCAATGCATAATAACAAGTCATTTTAGATTTATAGTTTGCCTTTTATCCAGGTGTTCAAAGCATATTATATAGTATTCTGTGAGACAAGATTGGCAAAAGTGACCCAATTAGAATACTCATCATCTTATGAAAGAACAAATAGACAAAACTATATACCTAAAACCCCACAATAAGGATCAACTGGCTAAAATGTGGGACGATTTGCTTACTATTAATTTTATTGCATGTTGCACAATTCCACTTATAAAGTCAGTTACCTGGTGGCAGAGACTGCTTCAGTTTTTCAGCCTTTTCCTTATCTGTGATGACCAAGGTGTACAGGTATCGGCTGCAACGCACCTTGAACTTTACATTGTCTTTATTCTTCTTGATCTTAACAGCTATTGTATAAAAATATCAGGGTTATCATTATGCATTGATTATACTAAGGAACAAACTGCCCAGTAAGAAACAGAATTTAATGTAATTTTGAGACAGAACATTTTATTATATCCACTTTATCTCATGATGACAGAGACACTTGTGAAGTAGAACTAAGTTATCATACCTGTTTAAAAATGTTTTTGTTTATTTAATTTAATTTAATTAATTAAATTTATATGCCGCCCCTCTCCGAAGACTCAGAGCAGCTCACAATACATTTTAAAAAATTATTATTAAAAAATTATTTAAAGAACATACTGGAATAATCTTGAGGCTAATACTTGTTATAGACTCATAGATATCAAAAGTACATAAAAACAAGCCAAAAACTAGTTTCTGTGATTTTATTACCAAAAACAAGCATTAACATCTTTACAGTAAAGGCTTACAGTGTTAAGAAAAATCTGTGAACCCTTTAGAATAATCTGTAAACCTGCAATGTGATATCAGCTTGACTATTGGTACTGGTAGATTTTATACCCAATATATGCACTATACTTTTAAGGAACATTCTGAGGCAACATTCATGATCTTGGAGAAAATATGTGACACCTTAGGATAATCTTAAAAGTAAGATTTAGCTTAAGAGTAAACTAAACTTAACTGCTCCAGGAATACAATACACTGGGATACTACAAAGAATCCAGGATGATGGCAAAAGATCTGTAGGCTATTCTTACAATGTCCGGTGAAAGTATTCATGGGTCTTCCATAAGGAACTATTCAATAAGTTACTACAATAATTTCGATGGACAGAGAGGTCAAAAGTAGAACTTTGGGGAAAAAATTAGAAAATTTTGAGAAAACCATCATATTTCTGCAAACGATTCTCATCCCAACCAGCATGCCACTTGTACTATTATGATTTGGGGTTGCTCTGCACTTTTGGGATTAAGAGGGAAAGAGTCTGGACTATACTGAGAAGTTCTACAGGAGTCTATCTGCCTATAAAGTGAAACGTAAGTGAATTTGGGTCATGCAGCACAACGATCCCAAACACACAAGCATATCTACGAAGAATGGCTGAAGTAAAAGAAAGTTTTGGTATGGCCAAATCAAAATCCCGATCAAATGAATTGCAGCATGACCTAAAGCCAACTGTTTCAGGTAGTTTTCCCTGTATCCGACTCTGGGCGTGGTGCTCATCTGTTTCTTAGCCTAAAGAAGCCAGCCAGTCATGTGACCAGCATGACTATACGCTAGGGCTGTCAAACTTCATGCCAATGCCTGGTTTAGCAAAGGGGAAAAAAGTCCCGACATGTCATGTGATGCAGCCCTGACTATGAGAGTTTGACACCCGTTATATGCCAAGGTGCATGGAAAACTGTTACCTTCCCACCGAAGTGGTATCTACCATTGAGTTGAAATAACTCTATAAAGAGGAAGAGGCCAAAATATTCCCAAGTAAATTCACAGAATTAACAGGGACCGGAATCCCTTTGCTGAAATCACTGCTGCTTCAGGAAACATCACTAGTTATTATGTAAAGATTCACGTACTTTTTCCATCAAGTGTTCAATTATGGATATTTCTAAAGGGCTCAGAAGCTTGTATGCAGTTCTGCAGTACATTTCTAAGTTTCAAAACCATTATAAAGAAAAGCTTTGATTCAAGCATAATAGAATTCCCAATCTGTTTCTAAAAGCAAACATGATAAAAATATGTTTACTGGCAATTTCTTAGCTGATTATAATGCCCTAGAAATTTACCATTGTTAAGTAATGCCAATGAAAGCTACTACAAAACTTTATGGTTTTTAAATGACTCTAAATGATGTAAATTAAAACTGCTTTGGAGAATGTTTCACTATTAAGCTTCTAATCATTTACTTAATGATGTTTTATAAATGACAGAATATTCAGAGACATTATTTAAAAGTGTCGGTAAAAAGAGCCATTGCTTTTAAAACATGGACAGAGGAAAAGAGAATGCATAACTTAAGACATGGCTCTCCAAATGCAGTATTTGGACAAGACCTGGGTTGCTATGGAACATTTTAAAAAGTTGATAGTGCCCACAATTAATATTAAAGAATACCACTCTAACATAATAATGGATATTATATTTTCAGCATAAACTACAATACAAGACTAAATCACACAACCATTATAATTAGTGAAACAAAGCAAAGAGCCCCAATTGGTACTCACATTTTGCATCTTTCCTCCTGGCAGTCAACAGAAAATCTTTGATCTCTTCAATTTTTCGAGGCTATAATAAATACAAGAATGAACATGAGCCTGGCGTCCAGTGCATTGTGAAAATACATTTTATTCCTGCAGCCCGACAACTTTCCCTTTTTTTGCCAAGCCATTCTATTAAACAGAAAAATGTAACCTTTATGAACTCATTTTTAGCAAAAAGTAGCGTCATTTAAGGAAGCAGACAGGAACAATTATTAGCAATAAAAAATATTTGTAGCTCAGAGATGAAATGAGGGGTCCTTGGTGCTCTCTGAACTTGGTTGTTTATTTGCAGACGTTACATTACCAAACTAGGGAACATCATCAGTGCTAGTACTGGGACTAGCACTGATGATGTTCTCTAGTTTGGGTAATGAAAGGACTGTAAGTCAGGGGTGTCAAACTCGCATCATGTGACATATCAGGACTTTTTCCCCTTTTTGCTGAACTGGTTTGGGCCAGCATGTGATGCAACTGGCCTGCGGCCTGCAAGTTTGACACCCCTGTTATAAGTAAACAATCAAGCTCAGAGAGCACCAAGGACTGCTCAATGAATGTTAACACATAACAACCCAGTGACTATGAGCGATATTGATATCTTATCAATATGAAATCTGGGAAACTCTTCACAATATTCTGAGTGGCTTCAACTTAATGAGTTCGCTAATAAATGAGGGCCTGGAAATTTTTCTGTTTCCATATTTGCTCCTAATACTAGCATTAAAGACATCTAACTGCCATCTCTGTAATTCATGCCGGCTAGTCTTGCTTACGTATCACTTCATGAAATCATGTTCTGTCATCTGGATAAGCTTACTTCCCCATCCCTTTTCTCCTGAAGAAAATACAGGGGGATTGGTTGAATGCCGTTTGGAGCAAACCTAGCAATTTTCCAATAAAAATGTCCATCATAAATTGTTCTTAAGGCAAGAGTCACTTGGGAGAAAACAGGCCTGACAACTAAAGGTAACTGGAGTATCTTCAAGCATGTCAGAAAACGCAGTCCATCCCCATGAAGAGACTTGCTGGGATCACATATGGAACATTTGTTGAAACTGCTACAACTTTCTTCAAGCTATAATCTAACCCTTTCCTGTTGTTCCAGAATTGGAAAGGCTGATGGATTGACAGGCTTTGGCTAGCGTGTTATACAATTAAGACTTTCTAGATCAGGGGTCTCCAACCTTGGCAACTTTAAGACTTATGGACTTCAACTCCCAGAATTCCTCAGCTAGCAAACCTAAGGAGGAATTCTGGGAGTTGAAATCCACAAGTCTTAAAGTTGCCAAGGTTGGAGACCCGTTCTAGATGCCTTTGTAATTCCAACCTTTCACCTAACTTGGAGTAAGTAAAAGTGACAAAGATCAATCAGAAGTTGGTGAAAGATTTCCATCTCCCTTTGCAAGTGACACAAAACTTACCAAAATGAATATTCTACCCTATTCTGATATCTACAGGCAACAGACATATGCATCAAAGTATATCGCTACAGCACAAAGGAAGATGGTTACCTTATTCTGCTTTTATCCAGCAAAGCTCTCAATCAAAAGCAGCATGTTTCAAAAAAGCAAGTACAGGTAGTGCTCGACTTACAACCAATTGAGCGCAAAATTTCTGTTGCTAAATAAAACAGTTAAAAGTGCGTTTTGCCCCATTTTACAACATTTTTTTGCCACAGGGGTTAAGGGAATCACATCAGTTGTTAAGTTAGTAGCCCAGCTGTTTTACTGTGAATCTGCCTCCCCATTGACTTTGCATGTCAGGTTGCAAAACCGTCATAAATAGGAACCAAATGCCAAGCATCTGAATTTTGATCATGTGACCACGGGGATGCTGCAATGGTCCTAAGCGTGAAAAACGGTCATAAGTCACCCTTTTCAAATGGTCACAAAACGAATGGTTGCAAATTTGAGGACTACCTGTATTCTCACACCAAACTGTGTTCTTCCAGTTTCTTCTCCCCCAGTACTAGTACTGTACCTTCCATACATTTTCCTTATAGGAAGGAGAGATGGTTTAACCCCTCTGGGCTCAGATACTAACTGGCTCAAGTCTGGGTTACTACATTGATGGGAAACTTTCAGGAAATACTACAGATACGGACTGGATTGCTAAATTGAAAAAAGTATCCTGGAAAGAAGGCAATGGCTAACCACTTCCATGGTTTATCTAGGATAACCACATGGCCTTACAGTAGTACTAAGAGCCAAGTTACATCTGAAAACTTGCATTTTTAAAAAAGTTGCTTTCCACTGCTATTCTCCTAGAATAACGCCTATTCCATATATTAAATGCAGGTTTTTATTCCATATATGGAATAGAAAGAGAGAGAAATCGGATGGAATTATTTATTTCCATATATTAAATTTAACTCAATGTAAAAATGTAAATGTAAAAAAGCAACAACAAATAAAACTACGCCTGATTTGTTTAAAACGTGAAAACGAAGTACGGGAACACATTTAAACATTCATGGAACATGAATATATGTTAGCCATTCGTCAGTATCAAAATGCCCTTCGCGGGAAAAGGCTTTTTCCTCTGTTATCTTTTTCGAACCGACTTCTTCTAACTTTGGCATCATCAAAACAACCACCGATTCAGGAGCATCCGCCGCTTACCATGGCGAGGGCTTCTGGCCGCAGCTGCCTGCAGAACAGAAATCAAATTAGCGAGTTAACTGCCGGAATAGGGGGTTCGATCGCCGACTTATTTTCCTCCCGCCCCCCCTTTCCCGCCCTCCCCAAACATTCACGGTCACACACTTGGCACCTTAACGCTCCTCCTCCGCCCCCTTCCCACCTGCCCCCACCTGGATTCTCCACCGATGCCAACGGATTGTAACCGCCGCTTACCGAGAAGCACGAAACAACGGCAACGCCACCCGGGAGAGAAAAGAACAAGCACTTCCGCATCCGGGTAGTTAAACCCTGCTTTTGGAGCTTAAGCTACGGAGGCCGAGGAAGTTCACAATAGCAAGCGAGGCAAAACTAGCTGGAACTCGGCGGTGTTAGAGTGGACATGCGTGGAGCTTGTAAGCGCTCTGTAGCTGGGTGTCAAGGATGCCGTACGGCGCATTGTAGGTGTCAAATCAGTCTTGTATGTACGTACAACTAGAAGCTTTGGACTAGAATTTGCTTACTTGTGAACTGTTCCTACCTGCGAATTTAGCGCAAAATGCGCACTCTATGAAAAACAACAGCGCGGGTACAATTTGCAGCAGCATGCATTAAATGCATAAAAAATGAAGCAACAGCCACCATGAAGATAAAAAATTGTTTTCGTTGTCTTATTCAATCAGAAGCAAAACAGAACCATTCCCGAATAAGCCCTTATATTTAAACTTTATACTTACACTTTAGCCCTTATACTTAAAAAGAGCAAAAGATAATTGAGGACACAGAGAGATCCATTTCTTTGTAGCTTTCGACCAGGATGTAGGGTTGCCAGGTCTGCTTCCAAAAAATAGCGGACAAGGCGGGGGGGGGGGGGGGGGGGGGTGTTAAGTAGTAAAAAAATAAAAAAAAAATTACAATTAAATTATATATTTTCTTACAAACATTTAACACGTATTAAAACAAATCACTTCAAAACTTTACTTAAAATTCAAAACATCAAATATATTATTATAATAATATGTAAAATATTAAATTACATTTTAATTTCATCATAAAGCTTTTGAATAAAAAAAATGTCCACTATTTTGTGAAAAAAAATAGTGAACATAATGTGAAAAAAGCGGACTGTCCGCTCAAATAGTGGACACCTGGCAACATTAAGAATCAGCAAGCAGTAGCGGCAGGGATGAAATCCAGCAGGTTCTGACAGGATCTGGAGAAGAGTAGTTCGAAGAATCGGCAAATACTGGTCCCAGAGTGGGGTGGGAATAGAGATTTTGCAATATCCTTCCCCTGGAGTGGGGTGGAAATGGAGATTTTACAGTATTCTTCCCCTGCCACGCCCATCAAGCCACGCCCACAGAACCAGTAGTAAAAAAAATTGAATTTCATCACTGAGCAGCAGGACCTAAGAAATTTTGATAGTGGCACTGCTAGGCAGTGTCATGATGAGGTTTCTCTCTCCCCAGAGAAAAATGGGGAACAACCAGATGTTTAAATGTATTGTAGGACGGTTACATTATACACCTTAGAAAAGCGGTTTTCCATAGCAGTTTATATCCATTCCGAAAGGATTATGAGATAGCAGGTCGGAGATTCTGCTATCTTATGATGGGAAAATTATGCAGACAGAAGGGTTTCTAAGAACCAGTCAGAATGGATTGAAAGAGCATGGAAACTTGGGGAATAGAAGAAAAGGAACGACAAAGGAATAGGACTGAGCACCCACTGAGGAATCTAGTTTGAGAAAAGAAAATGTTTGGGATGACAATTTGCCCTGACAAGAGTTCTACAAATTTGCATATTATACATGCTATTTTATTATCTTTATTGTCTTCCACCCAGTTTATATCATGCTTTCTGTAGAATGGCAAAATACAAGGGTGTACAAATGTATTTTGAGTAGGATAAAACTGTCTGAAGTCCTTAAGCAGAGGAAGTAAACTCACAAGGACAGTCATGGTTTCACTTAACAACTGCTTCACTTAATGACCAACGCTGATCCCAATTGTGGTTGCTAAAAAGCGCTACCTACAATAGCAACAACATTCATGTGGCAAATTTCAAGTATTCAGAATGGTTCACGCCAGTGGTGGGTTGCTACTGGTTCGCCCTGGATCGGGTAAAGTGGTAGCCGTGGGAGGCTCCGCCCACCCGCCTTCTGCGCATGTGCGCCCACAAGCGAACCGGTAGCAACGGGTTTTGAAACCCGCTCCTGGTTCACACATTTGATCTTGGCAATCCTGATTGAAAATTAGCATGATCGACATAATCCCTCCCTACTTGCAGAAAGAGTTTAGGGCTGGTTTACTGAAGAAACTGAGAGAAATTATTGCTGAGGTGAAATTTAAACTGGCATGATCCCATTTCATATTCTCAGCACTTATAAACTCTCAGATCTCAGTGCTTAAATATAAATGGATCTACTTGTGACTTGAATTCCTGAGAAAAATCAATATAGAACAGCTTTCATGTTTTGCTCTATTGATTTATACATTATCTATTACGTTGGCCTCTATATACATTAAGTTGAAGCGGTAACTGCATTTATTAACATCTGCTAGAGTGATGCTAGCATCTTTGGGCCATCAGAAATGGCAGTTGTTTCAGAAAGAGACCCCGTAGATAAAATGGACACATGCCCCATCTTTACCTATCCACAGAGAAGCATGTTCTGTACACCTTCTTGCACTGAGGTAGTAGTAAAAATACTTGGAATACTTGAGCTTATAACCTTGGGCATTTACTTTGTGCATCTTTATAATGAGTTTTTTTAAAAATTGTATCCTTTAAAGCAGTGGTCCCCAACCCCCGGTCCGCGGACCGGTGCCGGGCCGTGGAGTACCTGGCACCGGGCCGCGCAGCGGCCGGGGGACATGAACGCTGCAGCGCAAAGGCTCCTGGGCCGTGAGCAAAAGCTCCTGGGCCGTGCGCAATGGGCCGTGCGCAAAAGCTCCTGGGCCGTGCCCGCACCCCTGCGCGCGCTCAGCGGGCCGCGGCGATAAAAAGGTTGGGGACCACTGCTTTAAAGGATGATCTGTTGGAGGCTATCTGCCAATGGCAGTCCATCCCACCACTTTTCCTTCTTTTATCATGGTCTCCCTTTCTGGCCAGGATTCAAGACACATAGTTGGGTCAGAAACCTGAATTGATAGTTTAGACAGGCCTTTTATAATTTAGATGATAATCTACAGTCACCCGCCTTTACTTTATGCAGGAGAAATAGAGGTAGGGCTAATGCAAAGTCCCTGCGTGTCTTTGGTTTATTTGTGTGCCCTTGTATATATTTGTTCCTCATTTCCTCATTTAGCAGAACCATGTACGTAGTGATAAAAATAAAACACAAGGGGGCACCCTGAATACAGCTTTGAAATAAAGCGGGCAAGGAACAAAAATGGAAATGAAAAACAATCCATCCCCAAAGGGAGACTAATCATAGTTGCAATCCAGCTTGGCTTGCACAGGAATCATGTTCACCTTAGGAATTGCTTATTAGCCTGTCATTAATCATTATGTGTGTGCAACTACCTGCCGTATCATGGAACCAAGATCATCTGCCAGTAGCGATGGCCAGCCCTCAGTGAATTTAACCCTCAATGAGCTTAACTCACTCTATGTGACTAGATCACATCCTTCTGCCTTAGAAACCCTCCTGTGTTTCCTCACTACTTTCCCTTCTTTTAACTTACTGGAAAAAGGATAATCAAAATCAATCCATAGTGCTGCCTTATTCATAGGAGCCCTCCCTCTCTTATAGATACAAGATAATCCTCGACTTAAAACTGGTCACTTAGCGGCTCTTCCCAGAGCTAATTACGATCCAATTTTGAAACTACAATGGTCAGCCTCCCCCATCCCTGACCATCATGATTGCATTTTGAGTGCTTGGTAACCTGCCTGCATTTATGGCCATTTGCAGCATTTTGCAGTTATGTGACCAAAATTTACAATGCTTTTTGTTGGAAACCAGTGTTTCCTTCAGGTTTCCGGCAGAAAAGGCAATTGGTTACAATGGATTTGCTTTAACAACCGTGGGGTTTGCTTAGCAAATGCTGCAAAAAAGGTTGTAAAATTGGACTGGGTCACTTTTTAACTGGTTTGACTTATGGCCTTAATTCTGGGGTCAGTTACGGTCGTAAATCGAGGACTACCTATATAAATATTATGAAAGGTAATCTTTTCTGCGCAGCTCTCTGACTATGAATAACTCCTCCCCTATCACAACACTGAAGAATTCAAGATGAGCATTTGATTTTCACAGAACTCCTAATTATTATCCCCGACCTAAAATGTAATTTTATGTTACCAATCTTACTTTGCACCTTGCTTCAGGATTACTAGGGTGATAATGAATGTAAATGGGTAACATGTTTATAAATTCAGATAATTTCCATTTTGAGTATATCTTCCTTATCTTACTGAAGCCTCTAAATTAGACCTCCTCCCTCATCTCTGTCATCTTATAGGTCTGGAACTAAAGCTGAGACACAGAGATTTCAAAAGAATGATTTGTTGTTGTTTTGGAAACAACATCTCCCAACTGCAAAGTGAATGCTGTTTAATATGATCTTTGTCATGAGAAGCAATCATAGCTTCTGGTGACATTTGGTGAAGCTTGAAGTTGTTTAGAAGTTATCAATCAATTTTATTTCGGTCACAGACCGGCATAGAACAAATAGCAATTATGTAAAATAGGAATGAAAATAAAAAGTCATATTGATAGACTCAAATAAGGTAAAGATAAAATTATTAATGTAAAATTGCAGAGGTCATGAATTCAAATGCAAAAGAATCCTATAAAACTGCAATGGATTTTATAAGAAATACCCTAAATGCTATAAATAACTATGATAGATAACTCTAAAAGGAGATAAGAATACTAAAATTTCTAAAACATGAAGAGAATATAAAGCTATGCTAACATATATTAAATTTAATATTTGCTGAAGGCCTGCTATGATTTGTTGGGATTAAGACTGTGATGGTCTGCCAATTATTAGCAAAGAAGTAGCAAAATAAAACATAGAGCAATATATGCATATTTAAAAGGAGAAGTGGGAAAATGGTGGCCGGAAGGCAGGGAGCGGAGGTGGGACAATGAAAGGGAAAAAAGGAAGAGAAATGTATTGAGTGATCAACGTCTAATTAAGGTTCAGCTTTATCTCACTTGGAGGAGTTGCTTATGTTTAATCAGAGTTTTGACACAGAACCAGAGGACATTTCTCACATATTTCTATAAAAAAAGCAACCCAGAAATGCATAACCCATAGTTTCAGTATCTCCCTCACCTCAAGGACAGACCCATAGTATGTTATAGAATCTTCCCTCTAACAGAC